CATTTAAGGCATGTAGTTGTACATATTATTGGACACAAAAGAAAAGTGTCCTAATAATCCCATTAAATGAAACCATAAACTCATCTGTAACTTAGTAAGAGTTTAATTGAGCCAATAAATGGACTAGCAAGTCTTGAAAGATGAGCCAGTCTTCTTGCTTTCCTATAGAATTATTGATTCCCTGGTCTAATTTTTCTTGTCAGATTTCCCTATTTGCTCTCAATGAGCCCCTCTGTCCATGGTTCTTGTTGAATTGCATTTTGTTATTTTTTTTATTGGTACTGAAAATTAAATCCAAAGGTACTTTAGTACTGAGCTCCAAACCCAGTCCTTTTTATTTTTTTTATTTTATATTTGAGAAGGTTGTCAATAAGTTGCCAAAGGTCTCACTAAGTTGCTAAGGCTGGCCTTAAACTTGCAACCCTCTTGCCTCAGTCTCCCTAGTCACTGGCATTATAGGTATGTGCCACTATGCCCAACAAAACTTTGTGTTTTTTATTTTTTATTTATATATAACAGCAGAATGCATTACAATTCTTATTATACATATAGAGCACAATTTTTCATATCTCTGATTGTATACAAAGTATATTCACACCAATTCATGTCTTCATACATGCACTCATGTACTTTGAGTAATAATGTCCATTACATCCCACCATCATTTCTAACCCCATACCCCCTCCTTTTCCCTCCCACCCCTCTACCCTATCTAGAGTTCGTCTATTCCTCCCATACTACCCCTCTCTATTCCACTATGAATCAGCAGCCTTATAGCAGAGAAAACATTCAGCATTTGGTTTTGGGGGATTGGTTAACTTCACTTAGCATTATCTTCTCTAACTCCATCCATTTACCCACAAATGCCATGATTTTATTCTCTTTTACTGCTGAGTGTTATTCTATTGTGTATATGTGCCACATTTTTTATCCATTCATCTATTGAAGGGCACAAAACTTTGTTCTTAATTCGGATTCTAGTAACCTACTATCAGAGCAAGGGAGGACAACCCAAATTATAGAAAATTGAAAGCTTCAGTCACCAGAATGCTAAAATCTCTGTGGGAGGTTTAGCAACATTAGTCACTCACTCCCCCTCCTCTGTGGGACCTGATTAGTGACAAAATAAATTCAAGGAGCCAAAAGAGGATAAAATGCCTTTGTTTGTTTATTAATAGCAATGATGAACATAGAAATAGGTCAGGATACACACCTTCCTCCCAGGACCTGATCCCAACTTAGCCCAATAAGAGACAGGAGAAGTTGGAAATAAAACAGCACAGTCTTGACTTGCCCTTGCCAAGAGCACTCCTCTCTTCAGCCACCAACAGGACAGTGAGGAAAACCCTGGACACATCTCCATCAATGACTAATTTGTTGGTCTTCATTCTTATCTGCCAAATTAATTGATCCTCCTCTCCTGAAGTAGACAAAATCAGAAAGTAAAAATAGCAAGTGCCCACTTCTGAACTGCTTCCAGGCAAGTAAAATCCTATCATTTGGGAGAGACTGCTAGTTATCTACACAATAGCCTTTTCCCCTTCTTCTTATCAATAAAGTCTTATTTTCAAAATGATAATGTTCTCAAGTTAAATGCTAAGTTTCCTAGTGTCCCTTGCAAATAGACGTGGCTAATAAGATGTCAATAGAAGTTATTCACTGACTAGGTAAAGCATCCTTTTCCTTGCCCTCTCTCCTATGTGTTCCTGCTCCTTAAAATGTGAACATAAACCATAAAAGCTCCAGCAGCCATCTGTAAACTATTGCATACCACTGAGAATGAAGTCACTACTAAGAAAGAAAAGAAAGAGTCCTTGATGGCTCAGTACTGTCATATCAGTTCTGGACTGCCCACCTCTAGATTATTTTTATGTTAAGAAACACTTAAACCCCCTTAGTCACAGCGGTCAGATTTTGTTATCAGCAGCTCAAACACTTAGTAAATGATGCATTTCACTTATGGACATGTGAGGGGAGAATGCTATCTATGTACCTGGGCTGAGGGTAAGCACTGAGTCAGTCCAGACCTCTTCCGGCTGCCCCTCAGCATATATATTTCCTTCCCAAGATTCACACAAAGCTCTCGTTGAACTCTCACTCCTAATATTTGATGTCTATTGCTTATCTTTTGTCCTCTCCCACCTGTTCATAATTTGGGAAAATAAGTAAATATCAAGAACAATTTATTCTACCTTACATTCTAAAACTGTGTCACCACCTAATCATGACATAATTCTACCTGGACATTAATGTTGATAATACTTTAAAGTTCCTAGTTTATAACTGAATTCAGGTTAAAACAATAGATTGGGGACAAGGGTATGGATTTGGAAGTCACCATCAAATATGTGGCTATTGAAGCCAATTGAGTTAAAGGGAAGTCACAGGAAGAACAAAAAGAGAAGTAGAATGAGGATTAAATACAGAGGAGTCCCAAGTTTAAGAAAGCTTCCCAAAAGAAAACACTGACCTTGCTGAAAAAAAAAATGTCATGATGTCATGTCATGTCAACCATAGGATTATGGTTTTATGGTATAAGGATTAACCTGAGGACATCTAACCTGGGGTTTCAATTCATGTCTCCTGGTTACTGTTTCCAGTTTTTGATCACTGAGAATAATTTCTCAACACCAACCCAAAATATCATGCAAGAAGACCTATCATTGTTTTGTGAGAAAGATGAAGACCTTCTTAATTTATAAGACATTGTATTTTCTCTGGGAGCAATAGATGGCTCTCATCCAGCTGTTGCAGACACCACAAGTTTTTGTCATTTCAGTTTCTCAGTAACAAAAAGACTGGTTTTCAAAAGATCCAAGCCAATGTCTCATTAAGTCAAACATGCTTTCACCGCTACTTACCCCAATGACAATGTGGAATGAAGTAGCCAAAGTTGTTCTCAGATTTAAATGCATTTATTTCATAATGTTTCTTTCTACTCATGTCTTATGTTCCAGATTAGTTTTTTGTTCTTACTCATTTTTTACCAATGGTAATTGATTTTTCTTTATCCATACTAAAGTAGATTTACTTTTGTCCTTCCTCATTCCTGACACTCTCCTAATATCCCAAGATCCCCATGAGCCCAGACACAAACAATCCTGTAGAGAGTAAGATTTAGTCAGACCCAGAGGGCTGATAGCAGTGGTTCAGAATGGTATGATAATTCAATTCTGAAAAGTAAGTTATTACACATAGGGAACCTCGAAATGGGCACAAATATACAGTACACTTCTGTAAATGTCTAGCACCATCATTATCATAATCTAGATATAATCCAAGTATCAACATTTCCCTCCTTCAAAAATTTCTTTCCTCTAGCGTACATTAAGAAAATATGATTTTGTCTCATGTCTCCTTGCCAATGAGCCCCACACTGCAGGTCTTTCTCTGTGTTTCTCTGGTCTCTCCTCAGAACGTCTTAAGCCTTGATCCAGGCTTCATCTGGAACATGTGGACTGCGTCTTCTTGGCATGATGTGTCCATCTCCACATCAGTGTCATAGAGAGGCAGACGGGAAGAAGGCCTTACCTCCCTTCACTGTCTTACCTCTCACACTGAGCAATGCCCACTTTCATGAAGAGTCAGAGAGATAGACGCAAAGAAAAAGATATAGACTCAGTGTTTTATACAGTCTTCCCCATATCCTAAAGAAAAGCACCAATGTTCTTCACAGAGGTTCTCTTTAAGAATACCCCAAATTCTAGCCTCTTTTCAGAGCGTGCCCCTTCTGACCACAGTGTGAGTCTATACCCTCTACTTCTCCATGTTGGTCTGGCCTTATGTCACCTTCCTCCATGTGCTCAGGGTGGTTTATGAGAGTCAATTTCCCAAAAGCTGAACTATTCAACATAGAATGGCAGAAACTTTAGAAGACTGGTCTAGAGTGGTCCTTGTCACTCAAAATGCAGAACTTCCTGAGAGTGGAAGTGTAATATGATCCTCCTTTCTTCCTGATTCTCTGATGGTTATCTATAACACACACACACACACACACACACACACACACACACACGTTCTCAGAAATTGTAAAGTCTAAATTCACTTTAGAGAATAAAAGATATACACAGAGTCTCCAGGACAGGACAGAGATTCACATAATCACACAAATTCATGGGAAGTTCTTTGTTCTTACTTTCAGCCTGAGCCCCAAGAGCCCAATTACAAGATCACCTACCTTTAAATACCATCCCAAAGCTCTGAAATTTTCGAACTTTGAAATGAAAGATTTGTGTTTTGATTTAGCCATACAATATCAGGCCATGTACAGTTCTTAGTTGAACCCTTCTCTAGTCTGTGCATATATATGCATGGAAGGAAGGATTTATGATCTGCCTAGCCAGTAAGCTCTCTAAGAGTTAGGAGAATACATTATCTATGGCACCAAGTAATCTAGCTTTAGTCTTTAGTAAGCTGTTCACATAACTGAAAAAAAAAAAAAGCATGCTCCAGTTCCCTCATGCTACCACATGTTCCTTATTCCAGCTAGAAGTGTTCTTACTTAGACAAACCCATCTAATTTACAAAGAAAAAATAAAGATTTGGAGCCTCAGTTTATTCATTTCTTGAGTCTAATATAGAGTCCAGTAAATGATAGAAGCTAAATTTTTCACAGTGAAACAATTTGAGCAGTACAAAATGACATAATCCTCAAGGACAGAATACAAAGCAAGATATTTAGTAACTTTAAAAGTGGAGGGAAAGCAGGGGGGCACAGTGTCACATGCCTGTAATCCCAGCAGCTTGGGAGGCTGAGGCAGAAGGATTGTGAGTTCAAAGTCAGCCTCAGCAACAGGCGAGGTACTAAGCAACTCAGTGAGACCCTGTCTCAAAATAAAATACAAAGTAGGGCTGGGAGTGTGGCTCAGTGGTCTAGTGCCCCTGAGTTCAATCCCAGGTACCAGGGAAAAAAAGGGGGGGGAGGGAAGACCTTATTTGAGAAAAAACATTAAAATTCCTCTTCCTGTAGATAAAATGTTACTTAAGTAGAATGCTTGCTGAAAATTAATTGACAATGATACAAAAGACTCATTAGCAGAGTACTCTCTTCAGGGTTTTATCTAGGGCTAGTTTAACATCTTTATTCCTCAAACTGTAGATCAGAGGGTTAAGCATGGGAACCACGTTGGTGTAGAAGACTGAAGCAAACTTGCCTTCCTCCATCAATCCAGAAAAAGAGGTTGTTAAGTAAGTAAACGCCCCAGACCCAAAAAACAGAGCTACAGCAATTATGTGAGAGCCACATGTGCTGAAGGCTTTGGATCGTCCTTCAGCAGAAGGAATTCGAAGAATGTTGGAAAGAATCAAAGCATAAGAGATGAAGATGCTGACACTGGACACTGTGATGACCACTCCAACAACCGTGAAGAACACAAGCTCATTGATGTGGGTGCTGCTGCAGGAGAGCTGCAGAAGTGGGAGAACCTCACAGAGGTAATGGCAGATGACATTGGAATCACAAAAGGTCAGTCTCAGCATGCTTCCAGTGTGGGCCATGGCCCCAGCAAACCCTATCACATAGGAGCCAATCATGAGCAAAAAGCAGACCTGAGGGGACATGATGACAGTGTACAGCAAAGGGTTGCAGATGGCCACGTAGCGATCATAGGCCATCGATACCAAGACACAGCACTCGGCATTGACAAAGAAACAGAAGAAAAACAGTTGAGTCATGCACCCCATGTAGGAGATGATGTTTTCTGACACAAAGTCATTCAGCATTTTGGGGGTAAACACACAGGAATAACAGAGATCTATAAAGGACAAGTTGAAGAGGAAAAAGTACATTGGGGTATGAAGACTAGAATTCAGCCCAATTAAGGTGATCAAGCCCAAGTTGCCCACCACAGTGAATATATAGATCCCCAAGAACAGGAGGAAGAGAGGGAGCTGGAGCTCTGATTGTTCTGATAATCCCAGAAGGATAAACTCGGTCASTAAGGAGCTGTTTCTCAGAGTCATTCTCTTCTGGCACATCGACTAGGGAAACAAAGGACAAAACACAAAGTTATACAAGAATAAACATGAGTAATGGAAGAAGGCTAGAGAAGATCGGTCAGGGCATAGATGCCTCCCTTCTTCTGCCCTCTTCCCTCATCTATGCCTCTCTCTGTCCTAAACTGTCGATAATATGACTAAGGCAGCATCTCAGCTCCCCTGATGCTAGTCAGGAACCCCAGCTACCCTGTTGGCATGGGCAGCAAAGATTCTGTCTCTGCTTAAGAAATGAAGAGGCAGCATACCTCAAGGGGCTGCCCCATCTCAGAAAGATGCCCCAAGGGCCAGGGGTACAACTTGGACCTGCTGTCTCAGGCTTTGTGACACAGAAGTTCCCATGTCCCCCATCATGCCCAGCTATTCTCTGCCTTTCTCTCCCAAACACATATTACCTTGAGAGAAAGCCAAGCCAAAAGCCAAGAGTGTTCCCTACTGGCTCTGCCCTATACCTTTTCAGTGCTGGATTTATGCAATGCTTTCTCCATTAGCCAGAGGCATAAGATGGTGCTGCTAGAATGTAAAGCAGACAGCCTTGCAGGCTAACTCTTCTGATTCTTATGATGCTGGGAACGTAGCTTTAACAGACCCAAATTCTCCAAGGTGCTTGAGGAATAGCCCAGAGTTTCTGTTTGTGGATTTCCCCAGATGGTCTTCATCAACTTCAGAAGAAAAACATTAGCACTCTTTTCCACCAGGACCCCAGCTGGCATACCATGGGGGACTTTAAACTTCATGACAATCTTAGAGACCTGATTAGTTATAGTCTCTCCTGGGAATTTCTCTTAGATCTGTTTTTAGATAGAGGAAACCGCACTCTGTTTACATCCTGCATCAGTAACATCTTGAGAGCTGGTGTTCTGCTCAATATTCCCCTTTGCTCCAAGGAGTTCATGTCATTCAATGCTGAGTTTGATGGGCTCCTTCTTCCTCCCTTTCATTCATTCTTCGACCCTAAGTTTAACTTTAAGAGATAATGGCCCCAAATTCATTTTCTACCATTTCCAAATTTTCTTAAGGAGTTTTGAAATGAGGACCAAAAATGTTCAGACCAAGGTTATAGATGATCAGAAAGCTCCTCGTATGAAATGCTTCTAAAAGCATGAGCTGCTCAGAACAGTGAGACAGCAACACCAGCAACACAAACACCATCTCCTCTCCATTCTACAAAAGGCCACAGACAGGCCTTGACAATATGKAAGGAGATTAAAATATCACAAGACGCAAGCCATGAAGCACACACACTGGCTTACTCCGTAGCTAGGCAGGAGAAGTACTGAGGGTTTGATCTGTCATTCTTCAGATGTCAAAGCTTTTCTTCATCAGATCTGCTGTGTGCACATTCTAGGGGAAATCCACATACATGTGTACATCTGCATTTGTAACTTTCCATTGAGGTTGCCTAAAATAATCCCAGTTTGCCTGGGAGGGTCCTGAATGGCAACCATTATGTCTGTACAATTATTCATAGCATGTCCTTTCCGTCTCAAAAGAATGTAAATATGGATTAAAATTTTTATGTTCACCCTACTAAAAAAAGCATAAGCAGCTCTTCAGATATTCTGGTTCACTGACTTCCATCCTCTGTCTGTCAGAATCTCTGTCTTTCACCTTTACTCTCCTCAACTGAAYACCCTTCCTATCTCTTCAGTAGACTTTGGCTTCAAACATAGGAAGCTGCTTCTGATTTATGCCTAGCCAAGAAACCTAAAGCAAAGAAATTCAAACCCTAGCTGTCCGCCCAGAATAGGTGAAAAGAGAAAAGCAAGGAGACAGAAATTACACTGGTACCAAGAGTAAAATTAGTAAAATATATTGTTGTGTATCATTGTTTGTGGATACAATAAATTGGTTGGCATTATTTAAGAAATGTGGACATATTCCATATATCTGTATATGGAATATGTAWATCCACATCTCTTAAACAGTGTCAACCAATTTATTTATACATGTAGACACACATATATACATACATATGTACACATATATCTACATAGATTTTAAACAGCATTTCACTGCTAGATGTATACCTAATAAAAATTACAAAAAAAAACTACATATGTTTACCTAAAGACATGCCAAAAATATTCATAGAAGGATAATACATATTAGCCAAAAACTGAAGACAATCTACATGTAAACCAACTGTAGACTAAATACTAAATAGTGAAATATAATAAAATAAAATTTCATTTAGTCATGAAAATCAATAACATAGATAAATGTCATCGATTTGTTATGGAGTAGAAGAAGCCAAGCACAAAAGAGTGCATATCTTAGAACTCCACATGTATAAAATTGAAAGATAAGGAAATTAGTCTGTAGTCCTAAAATTCAGATAACAGTTACTCTTAGCTGGGAAGTCAGAGGCTAGACAGGCATACGAAGGGTGCTTCAAGTTTCCGAATAACGTTCTGCTTCTGTTAAGGGTACTGGCTACATAGATGTATCTAGTTAGMAAAAAAATTCATCAAGCTATGTATCTTTATGTTATAATTAAATAAAAAGTTTATTTAAAGCATAAGTTGAGAGCAAAAAAAATAAATCATCCTACCAAATTACTTTAAGACTAAAATTGCTAAACATCTTTGAGCCATAATCCCTCATTTGGAAAATGGTTATTTACTGACCTGACAGCTCACTATAGTAGAACATGCAAGAAAAATGACACTGTTTTTATTTCTCATCCATCTTGTGTTCCTTAAAATAAAAACCTGCTATATTTTTCTTATATAAAGGGAGGAAATCAAGAAGTAAAAAAAATTAATGCATATGGAGCAACTATAGTCCTTGGCATTGTGCTAGATGTTTTCTAGTATAATATTATGTTTATAACAACTATAGAATGTGCATGTGTGTGGCAGATTGTATTTTCCAAAGATGCCCATTACCAACACACGCACGCTCACGCATATATAGCTTGTATCCCACATATTTTTGGTGTAGTAGGAGGACTGACTCTCTTTGTTCCCTATCCTTGCCTCCAGAGGGCACAATATTGGACTTTCTCCAACCAATAGAATATGGTGGAATGGTGGAACTGAGGCTATGTGACATTCAAATGATATCATTCAAGGACATGGCTGCTCGTTCTCGTGCTCACTCTCTCTCACTCTCCCTCTCTCTCCCCCACCCTCTGTCATTCCTAGCCTTCAGGACAGTCATATTTATGGCCTGCACGCAAGTGGGTGAATATCAGGGACAATTGTCAAAGGAAAGCCGGGGAAATTGCCAAGACAGGACTAACTTACTTGGTCCAATTCTTCCTCATACCCAAAAACTATCCTTTTGTTTTCATATTTGAATGATATTTTTAAGGTTTGTTTTGTGAAGAAAATAGACGTATCTTTCTAGTATACATAATCTCTTACCCACTGTATTTTCCTATTTTGAATGGCAATTTAGTAGATGTGTAGCAATGGCCCAGAAATGGAAGAGAAAGAATTGTCTCTGTTCATTAGTGTAGAAGTCAATTTATTCACCCAACAAATATTTATGACGGTCATCCATTTCTAGCAATATTACACAATTTTTATGTTCAGAAAGATTTCTCCCAGTTAAAATGGAATGAAAGATTCTGGATAAAGTATAAAATCATCTGTTTTCATGTGAGAGCTGGCAGAAACTAAGTGAAAATCTGCAAGAGCAAAAGAGAAAAGATAAGAAATCCAAAGGACAAGCACTGGCCTGGAATTTGTCTTCAGGGAACTAATGGATTCCTGGATACTTATGAGTTTAGGCTTAATCGGCCACCTATGCAGGACATTCAGGCAAAGCCTGGGACTCCAGTAGGCTGGGAGTTTGGAACCATGAACTCATAATACTGAATCCCCAAAAGGAAACATCCTCCGTGTCTTAATTAAAGAAGAAGGGAAGGGGGAAAAAAAAGCCCACAGAGGGAGAATGCCAAGAAAGACAAGTGTCTAACTTAGTCTTAGATCTAGAAGGGCAAAAATGAGATAAAATGTTTGAAGAATTTCTAGCCACCTTGTGTGTAAGGCAAAAAATATGCAATAGATAAATAGATGATAGATAGATGATTGATGAGATAGATTCCTCTATGAATAATGCAATTTAAATCCAGATATCCAAGAATTTTCCCAGATAAATATCCAAGGATCTTGAGCTCTTTATCAAAATAACTTAAAATAAGGCACCATGAATAACAAAACATGATCTGAAGACCAGGCATAATGGCTCACACCTGTAATCCCAGCAACAGGGAGGACAATAAGGCAGGATGATTGGAAGTTTGAGGTCAGCCTCAGCAAATTAGTGACAAATAAAAAACAAAAAGGACTGGGGATGTAGCTCAATGTAAGGCACTCCTGGATTGAATTCTCAGTTAAAAAAAAAAAATACTGCAAAGCCAACCAGACTTGCAAAATTATGTAGGCTTATCAAGGGCAGGGTACAAAATAATGTTGAATATATTTAAAGAAATATAAAAACAAATTGAAATCTTAAAGGAAACATCAAAATTGAAGGAACCATCAAAATTTCATAGAGTCAAATGGGTCTTTTAGAAATTAAAACAAAATGATTGAAATCAGAGACTCTATGAAAATAATTTATCAATATTTTTTAAAGAGAGAGAGAGAATTTTTTAATATTTATTTTTTAGTTTTCGGTGGACACAACATCTTTATTTTATTTTTATGTGGTGCTGAGGATCGAACCCAGAGCTCTGCACATGCCAGGGCGCATGCCAGGCGAGCACGTTGCCACTTGAGCCACATCCCCAGCCCACTTATCAACATTAAACATGTACAAACATTTTCTTTCATTCTCTAAACAATATAGTAAAAAAATTTGCATAACATTGACATTATATTAGGTATTATAAGTAATCAAGAGATGGTCTAAAGTAAACAGGAGAATGTGCCTAAGTTATATGGAAATACTATAAGATTTTATATAAAAAATGTTTTTTATATTTTATATAAATATAAAATTTTATATTTATATTTGTATATGTATAT